GAACAATGTAGATCCAATATGCAGCGCTGCGTAGTACATGCAGAGCTTTTGTATACCTCTGTATGAGACAAGCAAAGGGAATCAGAGGCTCTGGGTAATACATGCAGAGATAGAACTCTTACTCAAGACAAGTACAAAGCCTTTATGAAGCTTTGTATGAAGGACGGAGGCAGGGTCAGAATGACCCCGTAGCACTTGTAAAACCTCTATTAAGCTCTGTATGAAAAACGAAATCAGGCTTCAAGGACACAAGCGTAAAGAAAGTTTCCAGAGATTAAGATGAAAACTATTCATAGTTACAAGTCTGAAGGCCATCTTCGGAGTAAGAGACAGAGCCTCGACGCATTTTGTGAAGAGACAGAGCTCTTTCTCAAGACTTAAATGCAGAACCTCTGTGCAGCTCTGCATGAAACACGGAGTCTGGTTCAGATTGACCGCATAGCACGTGCAGAACCTCTGTTAAGCTCTGTATGAAGGACGAAATCGGGCTTGACAAACACAAGGGGTAAGAAATCCTCCAGAGTTCACGATGGACAATATCTAGCATTGCAAGACTTCTAAATCAAGACGGCCAATCTGGCTACAAGTGTGAAGTTCTTTTCAAGAGTTAATTGGTAAAATTATCCAATGCTACAAGTTTGTATAAATTTTCCGTTGTCTTAGAAATAAACCAACTTTTGATAATGATTGTCCTTGGCTCTTATTAAATGAGAAAAACTTTGGACATTAACTCTGAAACACAAGAATTCAGAATTCTATTGTTAGACTGGAACATAACTCTGGAGTTAACTCTGAATAAGAGGAATTCTTATTTGTCTTCTAACTCTAGAAAGTGTCTATGAGCTTAACTCTGAGTCACAAGAATTTTGATTTCTTATAACTCAGAAACGTAACTTTGAAGAGGAGTTTAGAGTTGTATTTTAAGTCTGGAAATAAACTATATAACTAAGTTTAGAACAGAACAATTCAGAGTTATGTTGTAAATCTGAGAAATAACCAATATCTGATGACTTCATGTTGATGATTTGCATCACTAATGTCATTTAAGTGTAATGTGATTAAATTGTTGACCAATGTAATTATGATAAATATTGAGCAGGTAAGGCAGGTGCGGAGTGCACACTTGTTTGAGTTTATTTTGATTTAGGATGAAGCCCCTAACAAAAAGGGTCCGGAGGCAGCGCCCCCGGGTGGCGGGGTCCAAGGGGCGGCAGCCCCTGGCAGGGTCCAAGGGGCAGAGCTCCTGGAAAAATTAATTAAATTCATAATATTATTTAATTAATTAATTAAGTACACGTGACCCCAAAATTACTAATTTATTAGGTATATATATGTTATAAATTAATCAACTTTATGTTATTATTAATAATAAGGTATTAATATTTTTTTAATAATTATATAAATTAATTAAATTCACATTATTATTAATTAAATAAGTACTATGAGTACATGTTCTTCTAATTTTTTTTCCCGGGTAATATTACTTTGTGAAAAATACTTCAAAAATGCTAATTTGAAATTTTAAACCCGGTTTTGATGACCACTCCAGAGTTAAATTCAAACGTGAATTTTTCCAGAGTTATGTTGTAAGTCTAGGGGCCGTAAGTGAAAATTGTGTTTTAGGTGGGAAAAATCAACAACCGTCGCACAGAAACGTGACACGTGTCCCTAAAGTTACTTATTTATTAGTATTATAGATATTAAAGGAGGAACCAAGAGTATTGAGGACGCATCATGAGAATTGAGTATTGAGGTGTTGATGAATTATGGTTGAGTTTGAGGTATCCCTTATTGGTGAGAGATTGAAAGATTGTGTTGATCCTCTCTCTCAGTGATTTGATGATAATCCCTTTTTCCTTTCGATGTATTTTTGTGTTTCTGTACTTTCGGTTCCA